GCCCCTCTCCCCCTCCCCGCTCCGGTAATTAACTCCGCTTAATTAACCCCCGTTCATTAACCCGGCTTTTCCCGGCGGCGGGCCCGTGCTCCCGTTTATTTCTTTTCTCAGCTTGGTTTAAATGAGAATACGAAGAGCCGGAACAGCGCCCCAGAATCCCCGTGGGGATCCGGACGCTGCAATTCCTGCAATTAAAGTCCTCTCCCGTCCCGGTATCGCTGTCCCGGTATCGCTGTCCCGGTATCGCTGTCCCGGTATCGCTGTCCCGGTATCCACCATCAGCTGTTCCAGCCCTGAATGGCTCGAGCCGGGCTGATAATGGCCTGGGAAGGTTTCGGGAGCACGGCGGGCAGGTGCTGTCAGCAGCGGCTGAGTCACGGCCGGGCGACATCCCCAGCACAGCCCGGCCACCCCTCCTGCCTTCCCTATTTTCAGCCCGCAATAACGAGCGCCATGCCTCGCCCCGAGATCTCGGCGTCCCCCCGGCAGTTTCAGGTGAGGGCCACGTCACCCCGGGGTTTTTATTGCATTATTAACTTCCACCTGCGATTGCTGCATCCCGCAGAATGACTGGTGATAATTCCCGGCTCCTCCTCGGGATGTTGCCACATTTATCTCCCTCCTCAGAGGATGTTTTGTTGCTCCTTTCTCCCAGCTTTTGCTCACCTGTGTGTCACCATTAAATCACAGAATGATGTTGGGTTGGAAAGGACCTCAAAGCCCATCCAGTGCCAGGGGCAGGGACACCTTCCACTATCCCAGGCTGCTCCAAGCCCCAAAGTCCAACCTGGCCCTTGGACACTTCCAGGGATCCAGGGGCAGCCACAGCTGCTCTGGGTAACCAGTTCTGGGAGCAGAACCCCCGTAACCCCACATTTCACCACCATCCAGAAGATCTCTCCCAAACTCTGCTCCTGCTCTGGAAGAAACCCACTGACAGCCATTCAAAAGTAATTATTTTTATTTCAACTCTATAAAGTATACAACAGGCACTCGGCAATTACAGCTGCAGGGGGGAGTACAGAGCGAAACAAAAGCCATGGAAGTTTATGGAAAAAAACCAAAACCCGAAGTTCCTCAGTCAACATCCAAAGAGTGCAAGCGGCCGATGGCCGGGGCGTGACGGACATCTGCCCGACAAACAAAACCTCTGCCATGGAAGGAGAGAAAAATCAGAGTATAAAACAAAGGGCTGGGGTAAAACCAGCGTAAATTGGGACTCGGGGAGGGGGGGGAGAGGCAACTCCAAATGGGAATTCCCCCTTTTTCTGAGAAAGCCCTAAAAGCGCCCGAGTCTCGGTGTCAGGGCCGGGGAGCCGCAGAGGAGCTTCCAGGGCTCATCCCCGTGGATGCAGGAACGGGGCAGGGTAAAGCACAGATCCTGTTTTGTTGAGCGGTGCAAATGAGCTTTGTCTTTGCACCGGGGTTTCAGGTCGGGAAAACGCCGGTGGGGCTGGATTTTTCCCAGGTGGGAGATTCCCAAGGGGGGCTGTGTGGGACAGCACGGATGGGTGGGATCTGCAGAGCTTAGCAAAACAGGAATACCTGTCTACGGACTGCTAGGATGTCAGAGATTAATTTGACCCGCACATCACATTTATACATTTCACAGAAATGACTCTGTATCTCATTAACAGATACACAGCTCTGGTACATTGAACAGAAATCAGAGAACGACGTCATCATTTCTGTAATTCATAGAGATCAGATAATAAAGGCTTAGAAATCGGTAGCAGAAAGAACTGTAAAACGCAGCAAGCTAAGAAAGGACGACAGTTTGAGGTGTGTTTGTCTTTGTCATGCAGCATAACACCAAATTTGTCTTTTTTTTTTTTTTAATAAGATGCCATGGATTTAAGGCACTTGCAACAATGCCAGATAGCCAGTGACGTTCTAGAACTATGGGACAGGTGGGTGAACGGGACAGCTGACAGAAAGTTTAATCATACTGACAAATATGACATTAAATTCAAGTCTACCTCGACCTAAAAACATTACATTACAAATAAGGAAATGAAGGAATAATGCCATGGAACTGGAAAAGAACAGAAAGTTCTGTGTGACCCACAAAACATCGACACGAAAATACCTATTTACAGAAATATCTGCTCGTGGTCCTGCTGTTGAAGAAGAGTTTGCCGTGGGCAGTGCAGCTCCAGGAGAAGCTACAACACCGATCAAAGCCCCCCCTGGAAACACGGGAGCCGATTCCCCCTTCCCTAAAAACACTGTCGTCCCATAGATCAGGAAAGGAGACAAAGAAATAAGGACAGAGGTGGAAACACAGAGGCAACCCCTTGTTGTGGATATATAGAGATATATATAAAGCAACTTAAATATATTATTATAACTGAAGGCTTATCATATACATATGCAAAGTGTTAATGCTCAGGAGAGGCCGTGGAAGTCGAGTGAGGTGTTTGATATCAAAATAAACTCAGATTCAGCACAGTGCATGCTGCAGGTGTCAATTCCCATGCCTGGCACAAGGAAAAAAGGGACAGAAGAAAGAAACCAAACTCCTCAGCCCATTCTAGACACTCCTTCCTGTCACACTTTCAGGTTGATCCCCAAGTCCTTGCGGTGCTTTATCCTCCTTGCCTGCCAACTGCGTCAGGTGTCACCATCCTGGGAAAAACTCCTACAGAAAGCTGTCCCCATGGAATGAAAATCCAGGGGGATGTGAGGGAAGCATTTGCCTGTTAGGCCTGTTAAGATGCCTGGTGAATGTTTTAGCCCTCGTGCTCAGCTTTGGCTCTCAGTGCTGTCCATCCCTTGGAGAAAGGTGGAAAAGTCAGCAGGTGCTGCCTTTTCCCTGTGATTTCGAAGGCAAACGAAGTTTTAATGGTTAAAGAACAGCAGAAGTTCTGTGCCAGAGGTGTGGCCTCACCCTTTGGAAAACAGAGGGAATTCCAGAACCAGACTGCTTTCAAAGGTGTCACACGACCCAGCTCATGTTAAACTGCAGACGTGGCCCACGCTGTCAAAATACCCTTCTGATTAAATCCTTTAATGAAAAACATGTGAAAGAGTTGGGACTTAGCATCAGGGAAGGAATTTTTTACTGCTCAAACAAACCTTTTCCATGTAATATGTGGGAAAAGTCCTTGTCAGCGAGACTTGATCTTTCCACAGTCAGCTCTTGGCAGCTGAGGTCAAAGGAGGCAGCACCTGCTCACCCATGGCAGGGGCTGGAATAAGAGGACCTTTAAGGTCCCTTGGAAACCAAACCATCCCATCATTCCATGATTCTGCATCTTTTTGTGGCAAGGTCTCACAGAGAGACCAAAAGCCGACGTTTCCTGTTGGATAATGGGATACAATTTTAGTCCTGTGCATATGGGACAAATGGACACCCCGGATCCCTCTGCTGCATCCTATAAACCAGAGGAGGGAATTCAAGCAAAGGAGAAGCAGTAGAAGTGAGGGAAAAGCATATCCTGATAATATTGTTCTTCCCAGTTCTTTTTTCCATATGGATTTGGCCATGCCTGTGCTAAACACAATCACGTGGACCTGGCACGCTGGAGACCTCACAGGGATCTCCCAATATCCATTTCCCATTGAATTCCACTGACTTTCCTGTGGAGCTCCTTAGCCTGGAGAGGCATCAGGATTATTGGCAGTGGTCCGTCAGAGCCAACAGACTGGCCCGGGATTTCTGTTTTAATGAGATTCTTCACACACAGAATAGATGCAGACACGGAGACATGGAATCATCAAAAGGGAGAACAGAGCCTCTGCTACATATTCCTGACAGGATGGTTCAGGGACAGGTTTCTTCCCAGGTGAGAGTTGGATGTAGCACCTCGAAAGGACATCACAGGTCTCATATTTTTCCCTTTGGGCCTAAAAAGGTCAAAGTTATCCTAAATTTTATACCAAATCAGATGGTTGGGCTGCTGTTGCTTTGTTCAGGATGGTGACTGGAGCACTGTGAAATGGATCAATAGATGTGAAATGGATCAACAGATGTACAGTGGATCAACAGATGTACAATGGATCGATAGAGGTACAGTGGATTCATTCCATGATTTTTCTCTTTCCATGCATGTATTGGTACCAAGGGAAAGGAGAACTGAAGCCCAAAGGTGGTGCTTCCACGTGAGGGAAGCGACCCAACTCTGCCTTGACAGCATCTGCAGCAGTTGTGCTTTTGTTTGACCAGGCTGAGCCAAATTGTTTCCAAAACAAAGAGGAAATGGAACATTCAGTCTCGTGGGGAGCACTGCTAGGAAAGGAAAAGGACACATTCCCCACTGCTTTGACAGGAGTGCTTTGCCCATGCTCCTCCTGGGCTCCGGCGCTGCCCTGCGGAGCTCAGAGGGTGGGAATAGCCCAAATCCTGCACTGGAGTAGCTGCAGCACTTCTGAAGTTACTACTGATCCTACAGAAAAAGCAGCTGGAATTAAGTGCCTCTTACTCTACGGATCTCTCACGCTGCTAATCAAGAGTGTGCCAGGATCTCTGTGGCGACAGAAGAGGAGTTCTGTGCCGGAGAAAGGCTCTGTGTCAGGACCACCGTGCCCACGCCAGGTCACGTTCCAACAGAAAACATGGAGAGCACTATTGTCACTAAGCAAGAAGTCCTAATGCCACTGGAGTTACTGGAGCAGCATCAATCAAGGCATCATGGTGACCCCGAGCACGAATCCTCCCCAATTCCGGTCTTCCCGTTCCGCTGGCAGCCACGTCCCAGGAAAAGCTGTCCTCAGCAAGGCAGAAGCAGGTAAGAGAAATAACATTAAAAATCTATGTCCCATCCTGAGTTGTCGTCAGGGGGTGGCTCGTCACTGTCCTCTGGGAAGCTGTCGAAGTTGCTTGTGTCCGTGGGAGACGCCACCTGTGGGGGGAAAAGCGACAAGAAGGGGATGTTCATCCTAGTGCTGGCATTCCTTCTTTAGCCCACAGCCATGGGCATCCCAGAGAATCCCCAGCAAGCCAGGGAAGTGCTGCATCCACAGCTTTTTGCTGGGGGATTTCCCCCAGCTCCCCTACTCTCCTGAGTTTTCCTACCTGTTGCCACAAGGTTATCACAACAGACTTGGAAAAGGCCTCCTCCTCGAGCCCAGGATTTGCCATCCATGGCTCCAGGATGCTGAGCTGAGCCCTGATGCCTTCGTGTTTCCTGACATTGCTCAGCCTCAGGATCCCTCCAGAGAAACCCATCTTTCCGGGATGAAGGCCAAGCCCATTTCTTTTTTAGAATTCATGACAATTGAAATCTACCCTGGCTATAGAATTTGAGCTCTTCCTGCTTTCTGACAGTGAGGGCAGCTTTCCTACAGTGAGGACTTGGCAAAATCAAGACAATCAAACCCAAATAAACAATATAAGAGGAAACCAGCAACTCTCCAGCCCAAAACAATGAGAGTCTTACTGGAAATTTAATACTTAAAGCTTTACCCAGAGCAGGAAAACACTTGCTGCAGTTTTCAGTCATTTAATTTGGGAAGAACCTGAGCCAGGGGCCAACTGACAGTCATTAAATCCCAGAATTCTGGAATGGTTTGGGTGGGAAGGGACCTTAAAGCCCATCCAGTCCCACCCTGCCACACCTTCCACCGTCCCAGGCTGCTCCAAGCCCCAAAGTCCAACCTGGCCTTGGACACTTCCAGGGATCCAGGGGCAGCCACAGCTGCTCTGGGCACCCTGTGCCAGGGCCTCCCAGGGAACAATATTTTTTTTCCAGTTTTGGAATCTCAGTATCTCAGGGGTCCCACTTGGCCTTGTAAACCTTCTTGAGATTCCCACTTGATGTTGGATGTTGCTGCAAGCCTTGGGAAAAGACAGGAGTTCCAACTCCAGCTCTGCATTTAATGTGCTGCCCAACTGCATCAGCATTTTCCTGCTGCTGAACACGTATTGGGGGAAATCGGGATCATGGAACACCCAACTCATTTTGGAAAAATAAACCCACCCTACAGAATCTTAGTGGTTTTCATTTCTTTAGGATTATCTGGGTCTGTTGACTTCACTGGGGCTCCTTCACCCTTTGCTTTCTCAGCTCATCTTTGGAAGAGTCCTGAGCTTTTAAGGAGAGGTAAAATCACAGATTCCAGCTGTGATACTGAGGCTCAGCAGTGTCATAGCAGCAGGTTGTAAATTGGGATCTTTCCAAAAATCCCATGGAATAAGAGCTCTTTGATTGCCTCGCTGGCAGTGCCATGTAAGAAATGAGAGTTAAAGAACGGGGAAAGGCCTTTTGCTTCAAAGGAAAAGGAACTAATCTGTATGTTTGTTCCTGCTGGCTCTTTCCCAGCTAACAAGGAGAGGTGGATTGAAGGAAAAATGGATGCCTGCCCCCAGAGCCGTATTTTGGGTCCCTTTTCAGAGTGGCAGTTGAGACTTTGCCAAAAAAAACTTGTGGGAAACAAGCTGGGGCAGGATTTACAGCTCTGGGGTTGATAAAATTCGCAGTTCATGGGTTTGGAGAGGATCTCAAGAGCAGGTCTGGAGGAGCTGCTACTCCCAAGAGCTCAGGGAAAGGATGAGCTGGGTTGAACCAGGATTAAGGCCAGCCTGGAGCTGTCCTGGAAGAGGGAAGGATGCTCCCGTCTATTCCAGCCAGCCTTGCTATATGGGGTAAGGGCAGTGTTGGAAATGCTCCTGCTAAACTAAAAATCCACCAGAACCAGTTAGGAAGACATTTTGTTTTGTTTTGTTTTGTTTTGTTTTTCCAGGCTACATGGACATCCTGCATTCCTAAAGCAGAAATTGCAGCTGGATGTGGAGGAGGAAACTTGAATTTATTGCCTGACTTGAAAAGTGGTTCTCTGGATGGATGAATAGGCATTAAAAATAGGCCAAGGCCAGGTTGGACAGGGCTTGGAGAAACCTGGGATAGTGGAAGATGTCCCTGCCCACAGAAGGTGATGGAACTGGATGAGCTTAAAGGTCCCTTCCAACCCAAACCATCCCAAAATGGTAGCTTGAGCTTAGGAGAAAAAAAAAAAAAAACCCAACCAAACCCAGCTTTTGAAACATGAAAACATTTCTGAATTGCTATGGGAGAGATTTGCCAAGTTCTGCTTTCTCCCACTGACTTCAGGAGCTCCTGCATCCCACAGGGCAAAAAGGGGGGATGGGAAACCCTCCTGCTCTTTCCCTAAGCAGACTTTGGGATGGCAGATTTAGCCCTGGAGCTGGGCCTGCTGCAGGAGCTGCAGGACAGAGCAATGGGGTGCAACTGAACCCCCATTAATGGCATTCTCCCGGTGATCCCAGGGGATTAAGCTGGAACAAGGAGGGGAGGCTGCAGGACAGAAGGGGCTGAGGTAATTTCTGTCAGCTAATCCTGTTTGGCTTCCCTTTGCAGCGGGGCTTTGAGGGCAGAGAGCTCACAAAGACATCAAAGGAAGGGCTTTGCTCCAAAGGAAAATGAGTGGAGCTGTCCCTCCGAGCCTGCTCCCGGTTAAACATCAACAGCGCTTTTCATGTAGGACATGGATGCAGGGGAAAGAGGGGCACAGGCACAAAAGACAGCACAGAAGGGAAGGTTAATGTGAAAGGAAAGGAAGATAGCATCCAAATCCCACTTGCCTTTCCAAAGGAAATGAGAATGAAGGAGAAGGCAAGAGGACACGGCTGAGAGAAGGGGTGGAAGTGGCAGTTCTCCACAGAAATGGGAAAAGGAGATGCAGAAACAAGTGGAGCAGGTGAGAGAGAGGAAAATTTGCTGGAGTGAGTGATCCTGCCTCGATTCCCTGCTACAAAGGGGATTTCTTCATGGTTGTGCCTTCCTCAAACTGCCTTCCCAGGGAAGAGCCTGCCTGGAGAGCAAGCTTAGCTGGGAATGTGCCTGGAGTAACTTTTTCAAGCATCTCCAGAAGAAAAAAAGCACATTATTCCCACTTAACCCAACATACCACTGCCCAAAGCTCACAGCATCCCTGAGGAATTGGCCATGGAGGAGAAAATAATGATAGAAAAACTTACACTTGGGATTATGGGAGGTGTCAGTGTCCCTTTCCGTAATCCTTCCCAATTAAAGCCTTCGAACCATCTGAAGGGAGGGAAGAATCCAACAGTTAGACAGGTGTAGCACAAGAAGAAAAGAAAATTGCTAAAACAACAGGTTTCATCTCCCACAGGCTTTGCCTTCAAATCCCTTTGGAATTTTTCTTGTCATCCTTTCTGGGGACCAAGGAAGAAGAGTGTGCAGCAACCCCGTGGTGATGCTACAGAAGCAGAAAATGCCAACACTCAGATGGGAACCATTCCTTGCTGCAGGTGTCCTGGAAGCTGCTCCTTCCCTTCCACAGGGTGGATCCCTCTCACAGGAGGCGCTTTTTTCCCCATGGAATTGGGCTAAATCCCAACTTCATGCTCAGTGATGTCCCATTTGTGGTTTTCCTCAGGTTTACCCAAGGTGGGTGGATGATCCCTGAGCCTTCCCATGAAACCATCCATCCAATCCATTCCTGCTGCTTTGGGGATGGGAGAAGGGGAGATCCAGTACAGATGGAGGAGAGAAATTGTTCCTGGAATGGGTCTCTCACCTGTTCTTATCCCAACAAACTCCTAAGACATGACATAACCACTCCCATGGGACCAAAAGGGGAGATGAATTTGCATTATGGATAGGAAGTGGCTTTCAGGAGAAAACTGAGGTGTTTGAAATGCCTCTTTCTGGGGGTTGGAGCTGATGGCTGCTGGAGAAGACACTTACTTGTGCTTTTGGATATCTTTCACTCCATTTTTCAAGTTCCCTAATCTTTCTGATGGATTGTCCCTGTAAAAGGAATAACAAATCCTAAATCCCTCTGCCCAGCTCATTTCTTTGCAAATAACATCAAGGCTTTTTGTTTTGTTCTTTCATCCACTTACCTGCATAGTTTTTTAATTAAATTAGCAGCATTTTTGGCAATCTTCTTTGGAAATTCGATCATGTCTATTCCCCTTAATATGATGTTATAGGTCTTCATGGGGTCTGGGCCTGAGAAAGGGGGACTTCAGAGGGAACAGGGAAGGAGAGAAGATTAAAAACTCATCATTCATAAAAATTTCTCTTTCAAACAGCATTGAAGTCTGATAAAATGAACCCAGATGAGAAAAGGTAGATGTCAACCAGGAATGCTTTGCTCCCCATGATCCTACCCATTTCTCAAGGAGCTCTGGAATTCAGGGATGTTGGCTGCAGGGAAATACCAGGAAGTTTTCCGTGCTAAACCTCTTCTTCCCATGGAAGCTGTGTGGAAACAGCCTGAGGCAGGAGGCTCTGAGCAGCATCCCCTGGTTTATCTTTGTGTGATGGGACCTGATTCCAGTGGGGATTAATTGGCTTTCCACGGATGGGGAGCTGTGTGTGCGCAGCCCTGAAGGATGGGCCGGTGGAGGGGATGGATCCTTCCCCAGCTGCTGGGGCTTAGTGCTGGGGGAAGAGCTGAGCAAGCTCCAGGAAACCACCCCTGCCAAGAGCAGCACTGAAATCCCAAATTAAATACGGGAAGGATGGATGGTGCCCAAACCACCTCCTCCTTCCCAGCAGTGAGGAACCTCCCCAGCTGAGTGCAAACTCTTCCCCTTCTCCCATCATTTCCAGACCATTCAGGGCCAAGCCCTTCCTCTTTCCCCACCATGTTCAGCCCGTTCAGGACCCAACCTCCCCAGCTGAGTGCAAACCCTCACCCTTCTCCCATCATTTCCAGACCATTCAGGGCCAAACTCTTGCTCTTTTCCCATCAAGATCAGCCCACTCAGAGCCAAAAAAAGAGATGATTTCAGTGGAAAAGCCACCATGGAGTTCCCTGGCCCTGCCCTGCCCCGGCCTCCTCAGGGTGACAAGGGCAGAAATCTTGGGATGAGTTTCGATGCCCATACCTGCCAGTCAGGAGCTCATACATCAGGATTCCCAGGGACCAGTAGTCTGCTGAAATGTCATGACCTTTGTTCAGGATGATCTCGGGGGCTACGTACTCCGGGGTGCCACAAAAAGTCCATGTTTTCTTTCCAAATCCTATTTTCTTTGCAAAGCCAAAATCGACCTGGGGGAAGGGGCAGGAGAGCGTCAGGGCAGGGCATCAGAGGGAATGTCAGCCGTGGGCTCTGCTCCTCTTGAAGTGAAGCAAGGCAGAAAGGAGGATTCCTCATGGGAATTTTTCTCCTAATTAAAGCACCCAGGGTCATTCCAGGACCAGGGAACCACAGTGACCTTTTTGCTGATTTTTCCTTGGGAAAATCCCCATGAGGGAAGCATGACCAGCACCAAGGGTTTCTTAGGGGTTGGAACTTCCTATGCAACTTTTCAACCCACAGCTCAGTTGATTTATTTTGCTTTTTTTCTTTCAAATTTAAATTAACATGGGTAAGGAATGGTTTTAAGCTGTAAGAGGGCAGGGATGGATGGGATATTGGGAAGGAATTGTTCCCTGGGAGGGTGGGCAGGCCCTGGCACAGGGTGCCCAGAGCAGCTGTGGCTGCCCCTGGATCCCTGCAGTGTCCAAGGCCAGGCTGGACTTTGGGGCTTGGAGCAGCCTGGGACAGTGGAAGGTGTCCCTGGCCATGGAAGGGGTGGCACTGGATGGGTTTTAAGGTCCTTTCCCACCCAAACCATTCCAGAATTCTGTGATTTAGGCACCTGCTTCCGAGTTTGGTTTTCTCTCCCACCACAAGGAGTGAAGCAGTACAAATGTTGTTCCAGTTTGGCTGTTGGGATTTGCTGGGCTCACCAGCCTCCCTGTGGCCCTACAGCAGTGGCAAGCGTGGAAAATCAGATTTTCCTGGGAAGTGGAGTCCCCTGGGGGTGGTCAGGAGCCCACATGGTCACAGCCCACGGGGGACCTGGGACACTCGTGCTCAGGGACATGCCTGGGCAGCTGGGGAGGGACCAGCAGAGCCCCAGATCCTCCTGGGGTGGGAGAAGGACAGTCCTGCACCTCATCTTCTTCTACCACCCGACACCTCAGAGGAGCCCCAGCCTCAGGGAAACGCTGCAGAGGGAAAAGCCCAACGTGACTCAGCAACGTGGAGGCTGCCAACAGGCTGTGACGATGGGCTGAGCTACTGTCCCCAGCTGCTGGCACCCAAAAGAGCCCCCAGAGCAAGACACAGAGCCCTTGGCCCCCCATGACTCCCAGGGGCCATCAGCCCCTTCTGGACCAGCTCCTTTTAGGGCTCCTGTCTTTCACTGGTGGCTTCCCAAGGGCCCACATCCTGCAGCACCTCCCACCAAGGGAACAATTTCTTCTCTCCCGCCCCTCTTCAGATTCTCACCAGGCCATTTGGGTACCCTAAAAAGCAGGGTGCCTCTCCTGAGTTCTGGGGCAAACAGGTCATTCTTTGCCCAAGACAGCCAGGTGGCTTTCTCCTGATGCTCTTTTCTCAGCATTCCAGGAGTGTGGATCAGAATGCCGAGCCAGAATCGGCATTTCCCAGCTCAGCCATGCCCTGAGCCCTGCTGGAAGGCAGGAAAACACCCCAGTGGTGACGACAACACCTCACCCTGATCTCTCAGCATCCCCTGATGGGCCTCCTGGGGGAACTTTGCTCCTGACCCTCTCTGGCCAAACCTTTGTGAGAGCTGGGGGGAATTTTTTTGGCACTCACCAGCTTGGCATAACCTCGGTGATCCAGAATGAGGTTCTCTGGCTTGAGGTCCCTATAAATGATCCCTTTGGAATGCAAGTAGGCAAAGGCTTCCACCACACATGCCGTGTAAAACCTGGTTGTGGAATCCTCAAATGAACCCCTGTGGGAAGGAGGGAGGCAAAAAGGCATAAAGCCATTAGATGAATCCTTGGAAAACGGTTTCCTTCCTCATGGAATTCATTCTGCTGTTAATACTTTTATCACTGCAGTAGAATCACTTTTTAACACCTGGAAAGTTTCTGTTGCTAAATTCACATTTATATCTCAATCTAATTCAATTTCCATTTTTGAAGACGCCTCTTTGCCTTCAGTGTCTGAAACTATTTTAAAGTTTATTCTATAATTTAGAAATAAAACTTTGAAATCCTTGTCTTGTAAGCAAAAAGTTATTTTTTTCTAATTACAACTTTAGTTTTTGAGTGTGTTAAAACTCCTTTGAGGAATGCAGATAAGTTCTGTATTAATGTTCCTAACTCAGACAGAAGGCAGTAAAATCACAGCTGCTGGGACTTGAAGAGTTAATGCAAATTCCAAAGTGCACCTTTGGATCCTTGTTTCCACAGCTTTCCAAATAAACCACATCCCCCTGCGTGCTGGGGGCTGGCTGAGACCAGGAGGGTGTCTAAGCTAGATGGCAGCAGAACCTCAGTTTAAATCCCAGAGAATCAGAGAAGGAATTATAAGGCTCTGAGAAAAGATCAGGAAAAATCCCACCCAGCACCTTCTAACTTTGTTCCAGTTCCTGTTTCAGTGAGAAAAAGGCTGCTGGGAAAAGGAAGAACTTGGGGAATTAAAAGACAATTTAATCTTGGCTTTCTGATCAATCTTTCCAAATTTAATGGAATTCTGTTCCAGTGATGAAGCTATTGCAGAGTTACAATTCCCTCCATCATTTCCTGCTCCGTGGGCACATCCCATGTGCACACAGAAACCCAAAACACTCCAAGGTCAGCCCTCCCAAGGCAGGGACTGTGGGGTTTTGGGCATCTCATGCTTTCCTAACTAATATTTTTTCCATGTCACTGCTGCATCCTGATGCTCCTGGCAGGGTGTGGATTTTGATTCTCACTTGAGTCAGCAGCCCTGGTGTTATATGGGCCAACAGACCCTGCACAGCTCTTGATTCCCTGCTGCTCATTGCTCTCAGCCCTGGCTGGGCCATAAACACCAGGAAATATTTATGGATATTATTTATCAGTGTCCGTGTGGCAGAGCTGAAAGTTGATATTCACACTCACAGAAGGAGGGCTGCAAACACACAGGTGGGAAATGCTCTGAGATGGGAAATTGTGATTTAAAAACTGTGACATTGAAAGGACCTGGAGCTGCTGGAGCAAATCCAGAGGAGGCCATGGAGATGCTCCAAAGGCTGGAGCCCCTCTGCTCTGGAGCCAGGCTGGGAGAGCTGGGGGTGCTCACCTGGAGAAGGCTCCAGGGAGAGCTCAGGGCCCCTTCCAGTGCCTAAAGGAGCTCCAGGAGAGCTGGAGAAGGACTGGGGACAAGGGATGGAGGGACAGGACACAGGGAATGGCTTCCCAGTGCCAGAGGACAGGGATGGATGGGATATTGGGAAGGAATTGTTCCCTGGGAGGGTGGGCAGGCCCTGGCACAGGGTGCCCAGAGCAGCTGTGGCTGCCCCTGGATCCCTGGAAGTGTCCAAGGCCAGGCTGGACTTTGGGGCTTGGAGCAGCCTGGGATAGGGGAAGGTGTCCCTGCCCATGGCAGGGGTGGGACTGGGTGGGATTTAAGGTCCTTCCAACTATTCCAGTTGGAATTCTGACATTTCAGACATCCCTGTCTGCAGGACAAATCCCAGCTCACCTGTCCCTGAGAATTGTCCAGAGCTCTCCCCCCAGGCAGGCCTCCATCAGCATGTACAGGTACTTGCTGTCCTTGAACGTCCTGTAGAGCCTGAGGGTGGCAAGCAGAAAATCACAAATAAATCCATTATAAAAGCACTAAACTCGCTGGTTTGACAGAGTTTAAAGAAGCTGAAATGCTCTTCCTCTTCCTCCCAGGAAGGAATCTGGAGGAAAAACTGCCACAAGGGATGGTCCAGGCTTTGTGACCCCATCCTCAAGTTCTGAACTGTGCTCTAAAATCCATGCTCTGTGTTCAACAGGATTTTCTAATGATACTACATTAATTAGATTTATAGATGTGCTTAATAATATTAAATAACTATGGCGAAAAAACACAGAGATTCTTCTTTTTACTTGATTTCAATGTTCAGCTGCTTTTGTACTTCCCATTCCACTTGTGGCTTTATCCATCCAGGCTTCCAGCAGGGTGTGGATACAGGGAAAGTTTCTTGGCAGCTGTTTGGATAATGATTTTAACAAGTTCTGCAACAGGAAGGAATGCTGAGGGTGACTCCTGGTGCAATTCCTGCATTCCTGGAGTTTCCAGGAGTTAAGAATTCAGGAGGTAAAAATTCCAGGGGTTAAAAAAAGCTGCTGCCACACAAAGGAAGTGAAACCAGGTGGGTTTTGCAGATACCAGCTCTTCCCTGCTAAGCCCAGTTATGATTTTGATGGAGCTGTGGGATAGATCAGTGGGAAAACACTGCAGGATTTTATTCCTTTGGAAGACATCCATTTCTATTGATATAAAACTAATGGTCAGTTTTAACTGACCATTAAATAATGCTAAAATTGATGGTTTTAACAAAACATCCCCTCACTTATTTCTTGCCACTTGGACAAAATATCATTTCTCTTAATACACATTTAATCTATATTAAAGTTTACAGAAGACTTCAGGAATCCAAAATGGAATTTTAATTAAATGGTTTTTAACTGTTTGGTAATTTAAATATTACTGAAATCCTTTCCCTAATTAAGACAGCCCTGCTGAAATTTTTATGGGCATTAAATCTGGCCTAAAATACACAGATAAAAAAAAAACAATCAAACATTATTTATCAGCTATCATGGAAGCACAAAGTTTAGATACATGAAGGGTCATTATTTCAGACTTAGGTTAAAATGACACAATATTTGAAAAATTTCTTTATTTATTTCCTTATTCCTTGAAATATTTGCACTTGTTTGGTTCCTGATCCAACCCAGAATATTTTGTCCTGTTTGAATTTTAGTTTATCTAAAAGTCAATTTTATTTAGTGCCACTTGGCCTCTCCTACTCCTTTTGCCTGGTTTAATTCATTTTAATAACCAAACTCAATTATTCTTCAAAGACTTTTTAACAAACACAATGAATTAAGAAAATAACTAAGTTCTTCAGGAATTTTGTCTTTCTCATTCTAATATCCCAGAGGTTGTGCCCTTGCTCCAGGATTATTTTAAACCCATCTTTCATCCATCAGCCCAAAACTGAATAAATCTACTGAAATATTCAAGTTTCTGCCCTTTCTACCCAGGGAAAAAAAAAAAAATATCCCAGCTGGTCCAAGAAATGGAATAAAAAAGTTACTGGATAAGCAATAAACAAGTGGAATAATTTTAGGATAGAAACTATAGGAAAACTTGAAATCCCTGTGGATGGGCAAGAGGACAAGAGGGGAAAAAGCAGAAACCAAGTTTGATAAATCAATTATTTTCTAGCAATAGCAAAAGGTTGGGCTTTGTGACTTGGAAAGTCCCTCCCCAGAGCAGGGTTTCCATGGGATATTAAATATAATTCAGGGATGGTTGTTGTTTTAAAAGGTGAGAAATACTGCAGGATTTGGAAAGAGGAGATGCACAGGTGAAACATCCTTGTTCTGCTTCCCTGCTGAAGGATAAAGAGTGGGAATGAAGCAGGATTTCATTTGTCAGCCATGAATATCAGTGGCTCCATTAACAAATGCTTGGAGGCTCAGGATGGGTATTTCTGGGAAGGGTGGCTTGGCTGGCCCTGAACTTCCCCTCTCATCCCCAAACAGCTCAGCCTTCCAAAAATCCAGAGGCTGGAATAGCCCGCAGGGAATATTTAGCTCCAGCCTGGGTAACAAGGAATGTTATGGATACAACAGCACATCCTGAAGGGAATGGCAGCCGGGCAGTGTCAGGCTCCAGTTGTCACCCATGAATCACAGGAGAAGCCACAGGCTCCAGGGGAATCCCAGGGATGAGCCTGGGAAGGAAACACCCCCTGAGTGCCCCAGCCTGGCCACGTGCTTCCCTTTGGATTCATCCCAAGGGCTTGGTTTCACCCCGGGTTTGTTTGCTCTCCTGAGCAATTTCTGGGAGCAGGGCTGATCTCCTAAGGCAGAAAAGTTTTCCAGGCGTCTCTGAGAGTGGGATGAGGCAGCCTTGGCTTGGATGCCCTTCAAGGTAGATCCAGAGATCCTCAGCATCCACTGCTTTATCCTGTCCTACAGCATTGAAAGAAATCCCTCTCTGTCCTCACAGGCACTTAAAAGCCAGGGAACATTGTAATTTGGGTGGAAACAACCAAAAATGCCTGTCACCCCTTTTATTCCCTGGAGATGTGCTTAGGTTTGGGGCAGGGAGATGGTTTTAATGTGTTTGCCTGTGAGGAGTCCAGGGATGCTGAACTCGAGTTGTCAAATATTCCCTAAAGAGAACTGCTGGACACAGCTGCTCATTGTCATGGCCCTGTGTCATTTCAAAGGGTGAAGCCCTGCCTTCCAGCTTCCCTTACTGGGAAGGAAGACTCAGAAACTGGGAAGGAAAAGGAAAATTAACCTTGAGCAGGGGCAAAGCCAAATCATGATAAATAAATATATATATATATATATATATATATATATATGTATAAATTGTTGATGGTGAGTCCAGTGCCTAAAGGGGCTCCAGGAGAGCTGGAGAGGGACTGGGGACAAGGGATGGAGGGACAGGACACAGGGAATGGCTTCCCAGTGCCAGAGGGCAGGGATGGATGGGATATTGGGAAGGAATTGTTCCCTGGCAGGGTGGGCAGGCCCTGGCACAGGGTGCCCAGAGCAGCTGTGGCTGCCCCTGGATCCCTGCAAGTGCCCAAGGCCAGGTTGGACTTTATGGCTTGGAGCAACCTGGGATAGTGGAAGGTGTCTCTGCCCATGGCAGGGGTGGGAATGGATGGGATTTAAGGTCCCTTCCCACCCACATCATCCTGGGGTTCCACATGGATGGTCTGGAAGCACCAGTGAGCTCTGCCCAGCTTGTTCCTCCTGCTCCACATCTCCATTCCCTGGCAGGAGTGGAGCTGAAGGCTTTTCCAGGCTGTCTGGCTGATCCCTGTGTGGATCCCTGGAATGCTGAGGGCCCAGGGCCCGGGGCAGAGGGAGGTACCTGACGATGAAGTCGGAGTGGGCGCTCTGCATGATCTGCTTCTCGGAGCGGATGTGCTCCTGCTGCCGCGTGTCCACGATGTGCCGCTTCTTCAGGATCTTCATGGCGAACGTCTTGGCCTCCTCGCTCTTCAGCTGCACCTGGGCACGGCAGGACAGGCCGGGGTTACACACAGGACATCCCACCTCCCTGCCAGCAATCCCACCTGCCTGCCTTCCAGGAACCCTCCCACCTCTCCAGTCATCATCCAGGTTTCTAACTACTTGGCTTACTGCTAAAAAACACCATTTCTAAACACCAGGATTTCCGGGGAAAAGCCAAATGTGAGCGTTGCTCTCGGTTGTTGCCAGTTAATATCCAGCTTTCCCCCTTTCCTCCAGCTCACCCCACCCGTGCTGGCTCTGGCTGGGAATTGTGGAGCTGGGATGCCTGCAGAGGATGAGCAGACCTGGCTTCCCAGCAGCACTGCCTGCTCACTGCTCTGCTTTTCACCTTAAGCCTCTGCCCCCTATTTTTAGCCTGGTTCCCCAAGCTGAGGCCGACAGGAGTTGTTTGCTTGCTCTCGAGGTAACCCTGGCAACTTCTAAACCCTGAGAAACCCCAAGGAACAGGTCCCTATCCCAAAGCCAGCTGGAAGGCTGCCACCCTTCCCATCCTGGCCAGCCCTCTCAAAGGAACCCCGCTGTCGACCTCCAAGTCTGCCGCTCACAATATTCCAGTGAGGTGCTTTCCCCAGCATCGAGCACCAGGTGCCATCTGCAAACTTCTGTTCTGGTGTCCTTGTAGGAATTTGGCTTCTGCCAGAGGGAAGCAGCCTGGCTGTCACTGAGCCCCATCAGAAACCCAGCCTGCCTTTAGGGCTAGGAGGCAACACTCAGGCAATCAGAATATATTTAATGTCAGATCTGGTTTGGTATTGTTTTGCTGACAGGAATGTGGGTGGATATGAGACATGGCACTTTTGTAGAGCCATGGAATGGGCTGAGCTGGAAGAACCCTTCAAGGATGATTCAGTCCAACTCCTGGCCCTGCACACACACTTTAAGAATCCCACCATGTTCCCAAAAGTGTTATCCAGACATTTCCCCGGGCTTTTCCCGGGCCACACACCCTGAACTTGAACAGTTTCTTGTCCAGCTGCTTTGTTCCGTTGTGGTTCAGGGATCAGGGAAACACCAGGAGGGATGGTATCCCCATGGAAACACCAGGAGGGATGGTATCCCCATGGAAACACCAGGAGGGATGGTATCCCCATGGAAACACCAGGAGGGATGGTATCCCCATGGAAACACCAGGAGGGATGGTATCCCCAGCATCCCCAGAAATGAAACTGGGAGCCTTGAGTCCAAAAGGACCCGCAAACCTTAAGGAAATCAATCCCAACAGGCCGGTCCCCAGCTGGCAGAGAGGTTTCCAACACCACCACCACCAATTATTTAAAGCCTAATAAATGAAAGGCCACCTGTGGCCAAAATTTTAATAATTAAATTAAATTATTAAATTAAATATTAAATTATTAATTAAATTTTCATAATTAAAAAAATTATATATATATATATATATATATAAAAGCCAGATTTGTGGTTTCTCATTCCCCACAGCCTCAAGGATTTCCAAGCCCACATAAAACTTTTGTTTTTCCAAAGCTCCTGTCCTGTTTTTCACACTGAGATTCCTCATTATTATCTTTGCTGGAAATCTGTGTTTGCCATTTTATTTTCAGAGAAGCACATTACAAAGTCCCAAACAATGCCCAAAAAGTAAAGCAGAATATTTTTCTGTTCTGCCTCATTATTTCTTATCCTGGTTTGACCACAGCTCAAAGCACAAAGAAATTCTGTACATTTAGCCAACTAAAAGTGAAAAAAAGCACTTTTGGTTTGTGGTTAGAGTTTAGTTTCTATTTTTTTTTTTTTTTAAGTCTCATTTTGAATAAATGGCCTCAGTTTTACTGTTTGGATGAGATACTGGATATTATCCCATCTGAACCAAGGCAGGGGACAAGGGAGGTGGCACACAGGGATCAAAGACCTGATGAAAATCAAGGTGAAATCTGGGCTGAGCAGAATTTACCTTGAAAACAAGAAATTATTAATTAAATAATTAAATTTTGGGAGGACTAAGGATAAACTTGTGGAGAACTTATCCTTTCTTTTGTTGGGAATCCAGATTTCTTGGCTTCCCATTGCGGCGGTCCATGTGGTGATGGACAAGCACCGCCACTGTTTCCCAAATTGTTTCATACCAAAGTCTTTTCAAAGTCCTTGCAAAATCTCCAGATCAGATCTGTTCTCTTTCAGCCTGTATTTTTTAATGTTAGGTTGTCCACATACAAAAAAAATTGAGAAAGCAGCTCCAAGCAGCAAAATCGAGCATATTTTGGTTGATTTGTGCATCAAACAATAAAAAAATAAATATTTAGCACTCTAAATTCACTTGAAATTCCCACTAGTCAATGTTATAATATTGTATAGTATATTATAGTATATTATAGTATAGTATAGTATAATATAATATATTATATGATATGATATAATCTAATCTAATCTAATCTAATCTAATATAATATAATATAATATAATATAATAGAATGGAATAGAATAGAATAGAATAGAATAGAATAGAATAGAATAGAATAGAATAGAATAGAATATAAATCCCAATATCACAAAACAAACGGTGCTGGGAGAAAATCCCAATGTGTCCCCTTATTTAATACCACGGATTTTGACCACCTAATTCTTGTGTCTCTCATGTAAAAGGCTATTTTTTAAAATTTTATTACTATTTTGTCAGGGATGGAGAGCCTGGGGAAGTCACTTGCTTTTCTACACTTCCAAGTTAGTCCAGGGAAGAAAATTTCCAGGAGGAAGAAGGCAGGGAGTTTATTTGGTGCTTGAGGATGTCCTCACTGCTGAAGGTATTAAATATAGAAAAAGCAGCTGTTATTATTATTATTATTATTATTATTATTATTATTATTATTATTATTATTATTATTATTATTATTATTATTATTAGTATTATTTAGTATATTACTATATTACTATATTAATATATTATTACACTATTATTATATTAAATATAGAGCAGGCATCTGCAATTAGCTCAGGCAAAGCCTGGCCCTGATGCCACTGGAGAATTCAGATCCACTTTTCATTCCCAGTCCTTTGGAAGGCAGAGGATTTGTGGGAGTTTGAAACCACAGAGGGATTAATTTGCATTAAAAGTGCTGATGCACCAGAACTGTTCAGGTACAGAATCCAAGGGCTATTTTTTGGATCACCTGGAAAATGAGCCCTGGAGGGTATTGCTTCTTTTCCACCCTGCTTGAGCCTTCTCCTTGCTCTGCTTTCTGCCAAACGAGGTGATTTTGAGGGTTATTTTATGATGTAAAGGTGGGAAACTCCAGGTCACTCCTATTATTCCTACCAATAATAGTTTTTAGAGTTAATCTTACTTAATACAAAAATACCCCTGTGTCTAATCTCAATCTCATTCCAAAAGTTGAAAAAAATATGTAGGAGTCACCTGGATTTTTTTTTAATTTAAAAAACACTAAACATGGTAAATCCTAAAAAGATGAGAAGGGGCTGCTAAGGACATCCTGTCCTTCAATCCTGATGGGAAAACCAGCCCAGGGAGCCACAGGAACCACAAGGATTTTGGGTTTGAGCTCAGAAGGTGCTCAGAAGAAAAAAGGAATAACAAACATTTTTATTTTGCTTAGAGATATAAAATGTACATAAAATATAGGTTGTATATATATATGTGCACAGCTAATATAAATATGGAGTATTTATAGGTGTCAATACAGTGGAAGGTGTCCCTGCCCATGGCAGGGGGTGGAATGAGATGGACTTTAAGGTCCCTTCCAACCCAATCCATTCTGGAATTCCATGGGCAAAGAAAGGCAGGGAAAAAGGAAAGCTGCAGCCTCTCTGGCTTTTCCATATCCTTGTTTCATAGGATCACAGCTGGCTCCTCCTGTTGGAATCACTCCAAAATCCTTCCTTTGCTTTATGGTTTTAAACTTCTGCAGTTTCCAGGACACACAGAGCACTCCAGGCCTGATTTTTGTCTGGTGTTTAACATTTGTACATTTAATATACATTATATATACACTTTATAAACAAATATGTTTTTACATCTTGGTTCTTTCTCAGGCTGGCTGGGAAAATGGGTATTGATGAGGAATCCAGAGCTGAATGGAACAGAGGAAAAATGAGCTGTGTGTTTCTTATCCTTCCTCCTTCCCTGCTCGTATTCCCTATAAATCATCCCAATGTGTGTTATATACAGTCTGCAGCTCCAGCAATTCCTGGGCTGATCCAATACCAGCTGACCTTGGGAAAGTGGAGACTTTCATAAATATTTACCAGGATGAAGAACAAGCCCCCAGAGAAAGATTTATTTCCGTGACTTAACATTCCAGGATATTTCCAAGGGATGGAGGGCCAGGACACAGGGAATGGCTTCCCAGTGCCAGAGGGCAGGGATGGATGGGATATTGGGAAGGAATTGTTCCCTGGCAGGGTGGGCAGGCCCTGGCACAGGGTGCCCAGAGCAGCTGGGGCTGCCCCTGGATCCCTGGAAGTGTCCAAGGCCAGGCTGGACTTTGGGGCTTGGAGCAGCCTGGGATAGTGGAAGGTGTCCCTGCCCATGGAAGGGGTGGCACTGGATGGGTTTGAGGAGTTCACTCACCACAGTTTCCCACTGTGTCCCTCTGAACATCCACAATAACAAAGATGTTTTGCCAAGGGAATTTTGTTTCCTGGGGAATTCTTCCAAAAGAAAGGAGCCAGAAATCCACTCTCTGCTGAAGCATGGCTATTTCCCTATCACATCAAATAAGAACAGATTCAACAGCAGCACTTTGGGAGCTGAATTCCAAGGGCTCCTGCTTGCTGGGCACTCCCAAGGTCCTGCATTTTCCCTGTTTCCCAGCTCGATCTGGTGGAACCAACAAAAATAGCAGCAGCTGTTGCTGAGAGTAGTGTTTGCAAGCTGAGCTCCTGATCCCAACAGCTGAACTGCTGCACACAGAGCAGTGACTGCTCCTGTCCCAGCAAGAGGGGACAGCCTGCTTTTCCTACTGAATGGATTCCTCTTCTCCCAGGATGGAAGAGAATTCCCCATA